GGGGAGGCGGGGCTGAGGGAGACTCACACCATGTGGAGGTGTGTTGAAGAAGGCTCACAGCACGTGGAGGTGGGCTGAGGGAGGCTCACAGCATGTGGAGGTGGAGGCATGGCTGAGAGAGGCTCACAGGATGTGGAGGTGGAGGCAGGTTGAGGGAGGCTCACACCATGTGGAGGTGGAGGGGCCTGAGGGAGGCTCACACCATGTGGAGATGGAGGCGGACTGAGGGAGACTCACACCGTGTGGAGTCGGGTTGAGGGAGGCTCACAGCACATGGAGGTGGAGGCAGGCTGAGGGAGGCTCACAACACGAGGAGGTGGAGGCGGGGCTGCGGGATGCTCACAGCATGTGGAGGTGGGGCCGGTTGAGGAAGGCTCACATCATGTGGAGGTGGAGGCGCAACATTGTGAAAACATTTCCTACTGTGAGGTAATAAGACTTTCTGAAGTTTGGTATACAAGTCTGTGTCCTTTAAAAGGGACATATAGCCCTTGTCGGTTTGGCTCAGCGGATAGAGCATCGCCTTTGGACCAAAGGGTCCTGGGTTTGATTCCGGACAAGGGCACTTACAGAGGCTCACACCATGTGGAGGTGGAGGCGGGGCCGAGAGAGACTCACACCATGTGGAGGTGGGTTGAGGGATGCTCACAGCACATGGAGGTGGAGGCAGGCTGAGGGAGACTCACACCTTGTGGAGTCGTGTTGAGGGAGGCTCACCGCACATGGAGGTGGAGGCGGGCTGAGGGAGGCTCACAGCACATGGAGGTGGATGCGGGGCTGAGAGAGGCTCACACCATGTGGAGGTGGAGGCGGGCCGAGGGAGCTCACAGCACATGGAGGTGGAGGCAGGCTGAGGGAGACTCACACCTTGTGGAGTCGTGTTGAGGGAGGCTCACCGCACATGGAGGTGGAGGCGGGCTGAGGGAGGCTCACAGCACATGGAGGTGGATGCGGGGCTGAGAGAGGCTCACACCATGTGGAGGTGGAGGCGGGCCGAGGGAGCTCACAGCACATGGAGGTGGAGGCAGGCTGAGGGAGACTCACACCTTGTGGAGTCGTGTTGAGGGAGGCTCACCGCACATGGAGGTGGAGGCGGGCTGAGGGAGGCTCACAGCACATGGAGGTGGATGCGGGGCTGAGAGAGGCTCACACCATGTGGAGGTGGAGGCGGGCCGAGGGAGCTCACAGCACATGGAGGTGGAGGCAGGCTGAGGGAGACTCACACCTTGTGGAGTCGTGTTGAGGGAGGCTCACCGCACATGGAGGTGGAGGCGGGCTGAGGGAGGCTCACAGCACATGGAGGTGGATGCGGGGCTGAGAGAGGCTCACACCATGTGGAGGTGGAGGCGGGCCGAGGGAGCTCACAGCACATGGAGGTGGAGGCAGGCTGAGGGAGACTCACACCTTGTGGAGTCGTGTTGAGGGAGGCTCACCGCACATGGAGGTGGAGGCGGGCTGAGGGAGGCTCACAGCACATGGAGGTGGATGCGGGGCTGAGAGAGGCTCACACCATGTGGAGGTGGAGGCGGGCCGAGGGAGCTCACAGCACATGGAGGTGGAGGCAGGCTGAGGGCAGCTCACACCATGTGGAGTTGGAGGGGCCTGAGGAGGCTCACAGCATGTGGAGGTGGAGGCGGGGTTGAGGGATGCTCACACCATGTGGAGGTGGATGCGGGCTGTGGGAGGCTCACACCATGTGTAGGTGTAGGCGGGCTGAGGGAAACTCACACCTTGTGGAGGCGGGTTGAGGGAGGCTCAGAGCACATGGAGGTGGATGCGGGGCTGAGAGAGGCTCACACCATGTGGAGGTGGAGGCAGGCTGAGGGAGGTTCACACCACGTGGAGGTGGAGGCGGATTGAGGGAGGCTCACAGCACATGGAGGTGGAGGCAGGCTGAGGGCAGCTCACACCATGTGGAGTTGGAGGGGCCTGAGGGAGGCTCACACCATGTGGAGGTGAAGGCGGGGCTGAGGGAGGCTCACACTATGTGGAGGTGGAGGCGGGGCTGAGGGAGACTCACACCATGTGGAGGTGGAGGCAGGCTGAGGGAGGTTCACACCACGTGGAGGTGGAGGCGGATTGAGGGAGGCTCACAGCACATGGAGGTGGAGGCAGGCTGAGGGCAGCTCACACCATGTGGAGTTGGAGGGGCCTGAGGGAGGCTCACACCATGTGGAGGTGAAGGCGGGGCTGAGGGAGGCTCACACTATGTGGAGGTGGAGGCGGGGCTGAGGGAGACTCACACCATGTGGAGGTGGAGGCAGGCTGAGGGAGGTTCACACCACGTGGAGGTGGAGGCGGATTGAGGGAGGCTCACAGCACATGGAGGTGGAGGCAGGCTGAGGGCAGCTCACACCATGTGGAGTTGGAGGGGCCTGAGGGAGGCTCACACCATGTGGAGGTGAAGGCGGGGCTGAGGGAGGCTCACACTATGTGGAGGTGGAGGCGGGGCTGAGGGAGACTCACACCATGTGGAGGTGGAGGCAGGCTGAGGGAGGTTCACACCACGTGGAGGTGGAGGCGGATTGAGGGAGGCTCACAGCACATGGAGGTGGAGGCAGGCTGAGGGCAGCTCACACCATGTGGAGTTGGAGGGGCCTGAGGGAGGCTCACACCATGTGGAGGTGAAGGCGGGGCTGAGGGAGGCTCACACTATGTGGAGGTGGAGGCGGGGCTGAGGGAGACTCACACCATGTGGAGGTGGAGGCAGGCTGAGGGAGGTTCACACCACGTGGAGGTGGAGGCGGATTGAGGGAGGCTCACAGCACATGGAGGTGGAGGCAGGCTGAGGGCAGCTCACACCATGTGGAGTTGGAGGGGCCTGAGGGAGGCTCACACCATGTGGAGGTGAAGGCGGGGCTGAGGGAGGCTCACACTATGTGGAGGTGGAGGCGGGGCTGAGGGAGGCTCACTCAATGTGGAGGTATATTGGGGTTGAGGGAGTCTCACACCATGTGGAGGTGGAGGCGGGGTTGGGGGAGGATCACAGCCTGTGGAGGGGGGGGCGGGGGTGAGGGAGGC